ATGATTTTTTCTTCTTTAGCCATGGTTGATCAGTTCAAATTATTTTATACTACTTTCTGTAATACAGCGTGCAAAGAAAGTGATGTCCGATAGCCCAGGGCTAGTGGATTTTGTTATTGGGCTAGTGATTTTTGTTTTGTACTGTGTTTTGGTCAAATTCAAATTACAGAAGGATTGTAATCGATTCTGCTAATCAAAAAGGGTTTTGGGGCTGGTTGAAATGACTTGTGGGGTAGTACATGCTAGCTACAGCTTGCCCGAATGGCAGGCTGTAAAACTGACTTTCTTTGCACCCTGGGAATAACACTTTGCAAAATGACAACAGTCGCTGGGTATGACTTGCAGTTGCATCTGAAGTACAGAAATAAAATTTGAAATAAAGAATTACAGTTTGTTGAACTTGATCTTTCTCTGTTTTGTACCTCCCTTTTTTTCATATGCTCGTTGTTTTACATTCCCTATGGGTTTTACAGGTTGTTACACCAAGGACAAGCCAAATTTTCCTGGGCAAACAAGTCTACAGTAAATCTTCGATTAAGCCCCTGGGGGGCTTATTTATTTTAAGCCCATTTGAGGGGGGCTTAACAGAGACGGGGGGCTTACTTGAGAGGGGGGGGGGCTTATTTCATTTAGAAATGACAATGGTATCAGTTCTCCATAAAGAACTGGAATACAAAGTGGAAACGTTCAAGTAGAAGAAGGTTTAGGTCATGCAGCCGAGGATCAGAATCAAATCCGAACTTCCAGTTGGTAAATAAACCATCCTGGATTAGTCCGCACTAAGTTTTACAGTGTAGATTGATCAAATAATACAGTCTATCATTCATTAGTGAAGAATAATAATAGAGGTGGGGATGGGGGCTTAATAGAGAGGGGGGCGCTTATTAACTTTCTTCCCCCTGAAAAGGGAGAGGGGGGCTTATTACAGGGAGGGGGCTTATTTGAGAAGGGGGGCTTAGAGGATTTGCAGTATTCTCACAAAAAAAAGATGTGGAGTAAACAAAGTAGGGAATTTCAAGGACTTTTTAAGACATAATAAAGAAATAAAGTACTTTTCAAGGACCTTAACTGAATTCAAGGACTTTTCAAGACGACCACATTGTACAAAAATTCAAGACCTTTTCAAGATTGTATGAACAATTACTAAAATATCTTGAATGAGACTTGACTGTAATACACATACTGCATAGTACCCTTTCTGAAAGCAGCAACAGGTTATTGCCTATGCAATGTCTTAAGCACTTGTACCATGTACAATGTAAGTAACTCTGTATGGTTGATCCATTCAACTTGCATTAAGACCATGGAGAAAAGAGATAGTATAATTGGCTACTATAGCAAGATGCAAATTTATTATGACACATAGTTTGCTGGCTTGGTTGACCTTACCTGACTGGAAAAGTTTCATCATATTCAAATTTAAGGATATCCTATTAAATGGAAACAAAAAAAATAACACTTTTATGGCCAATAAATGACTGATAATAATAATAATCACAAATTACTGTTAGACGGTACAATTACTGCTTGTGACAAAAAAGATGTGGACTGAAGCTTTGGATTTCATTCCAACAATAAATCATCTAAAATACTTATTCATAGTGATATCTGTTCACAGAGAGTATTGTATACATTCATCATCATTGTCATCATCACCATCATCATCATCCTTAGACATGTACACCGTAGATGTCACACAATCTCACCACTTCAGTTCAACATAATTATTACAACTTTAGAAGAGCGTGGTACAGGTATCTCTAATTATAGTGCTGTATTACATGTATATATGTATGTGAGGTGTTGACTTCTCCTATTCAGGCATGGTAGTGTTAAAGGAAGAATGTTGAAAATGACATAGTCTAGAAAGCAGGGAAATTAGTAGTTCTCCTTTGGGCTACAATCTTTGGGAGCAGGAGTTTCTCTATGAACCAGCTCAATTGCTCATAGTGCAGGCTGTACACTGCACATGCATGATCCTGTAACAAGCACTGTACTCTACTGCCTACAGTGAACATTTTAGCAATAATAACTCACCTGAGGGTAGCCAATTGAAGCTAGTCTTTCACAGACCAAATCAAAGGCTTTCTTTTCATAGACTGGGGATTTATACACTGCAACACAAAAATTACAGTCAGTTGTCTTAAATGCAGTATGGGCGATAATGTTTATATCTAAGTTAGAAGGTCATGACACCAAAAGAACCACACCCAAAAAAGGTTAACCATAATGTTTGGGGATCGACTGTGACCTACATGTAAGCCCATTATATGTACGATCATGTAATAAAGCTTCAGAATTTTAATAGAGTGCAACTTGGGCATTCTTTTGTTATTGTTTATAAATACACATACATGTAAAGAAGTTCAGAATTGTTGAGAATGCCTTAAGAGTTTTGCAACAAGTAATTACAAAAGAAGTAACATCAGACCCAGTCCACGGGCTCAAATGGGAGAATTATAATTAATGTTTTCTCCTGGTGACTGTACCTGCTAAAGTATAATCCATGTCAAAGCCAAAGAATTTGATTTTGTCCAGACTAAGACTTCTATTGACAAACACTCTAAAACAAAATACAGGAGGAACATTAATTGTTATTGTTGTAAATAAATACGTATAAACACCACACGTTACTGGAAGCATAAAAGATGACCGCTATGAAAAAGAACCTGAACATTTCTTGATCTCTGGATCTTTACTTGACTAAGATTTGAATCAGGATTCCAATCCTGGTCAAGCCTGAATTACCGTATAAATTATACTTTATATGTAAAGGTGCTTTTTCTATGTCAGGGGTATTTTGCAGAGTGTCAAGTGACTATTAATATAAAAATCAGTGCTTAAGGTTAACTAGGAAACTGACTCAGTGAGTGAATCAAGTTCCACTTCAGTTCACCTAGCTGTATAATGCACCTGACTGGAACTTGTTCTGTCATTCCTACCCCTTAGAATCACTAGGCACCCGAGTCATTCGGCAGTCAGAAGCTGCTGGCACTTTGCAAAAAAACACCCACTGCTTTGTGATAATTACACTATACTGTCAGGGCTTATCGCTTCTTTCAACAGTTTAACGAAATTTGTGAAACTGTTGAAAGTAACAATATTTAATATAACAGACCGTAGACATCATAACTACTATACCTTTTAGCAGTGTCTCTTTTGAAAGCCTTTGGCCCATCAGTAGCATCCCCATAACTGGCAGTCGAGTCATATGGGTGAGTTGAGTATGGCATTTTTAAGGCTAGTGACTCCTTGGTAGCCTAAATAATCATGATAATAGAAACAGTATTACAACTAAAAAAGTCCACTATACGTATCTTAACAAAAAAAAATATCCTAATATTAAGA